CTGTGATCAGCCCGAGGAGGGCAGTGCTCTGCTTGTGAGCACCCAAACCTCTCAGCTTTGTTCCAGGCCCTGTGGTTGGGGTGTCCCTTTCAGCTGGAGCAAGCACAGAGGGAAGCACAGCAGTCGTGGTGCCAGCCTGGCTCCTCTGCTGCCCTGTGCTTGCTGTCCATCCTGCTGCATGGAGGGAGGGCAAGCGAGGGGATGGCTCTATTTGCGCTGCTGCTGACTGCCTGTCCACCCTGCAGAGCATCCTGGTGGCCAAGAGACAAATATCAGTGGCCAAAGGTGGCATTGAGGAGTTTCGCCAGGCACTCAGGTCCTACATGGAGGTCACCACGGCGCAGAGCAGCTGCCTGCAGTAAGTGTGGTGGGGAAAGGAGCAGGGCAGCCCTCGGTCCTGTGTCAGTCAGCACAGCACAGGGCCGTGCTGGGAGGTGAGAGGGGGTTATGCCAACCTGAATGATGGTGCCATACACCTGTAAGAAAGTGCAGCATTGAGAGACTTGAGAGGAAGGGAGAAAAGTGAGGGTAGAACTTCACATGAAGCATGTGTGGTGCTGGTGGGAAGCATCCTGACCTTCTAAAGCTGGCCCATGACTTAAGATCAAGACTGTGCCCCAGCACTGCACCAGAGCTAAGGATGGAGCCCTGGGCCAGATGGAGGCACAGCTCAGTCACTGTGTCCCTGCAGACTGCAGCTGCTGCTGGAGAGTCTCCCTTTTCCCAGGGGAGGCTTCAGGCTGCTTCCAGAGGAAAACGTTTGTGCTGTACCCATTTAAAGTGCCATTTTTCAGCTCTTCAGTTTCAACAGTAGAAAACTGCATTTCAGTGCAAGCAAAAGGAAGAAACTTGTTTTGACGTGTGGCAGTGAGAATGATGTGTATTTTTTTTTTTTTTTTAGACTTGATGGGCTTTTCCCTCGTAAGAACTCATAAGAAATTGGTGATAGGTGGATGGTTGGACTGGATGATATTGAAGATCTTTTCCAACCTTGGTGATTCTGTGATTCTGTGAACTGTTAGTGTGACATGGGAGCAGCACTAGGGGCTCTCCATGTGAGTGGGAAGCAGATGTGGAGTCTGAGAAGACCCTGCTCAGTGCTCCAGCACAGGGAACAGCAGAGTGCAGTGCAGCCCTTGTGCATGGCACAGCTCTGAGCTGCAGCCTGGGCATCCTTGGGTGTCCTTTGGCTTTACTGCCCTAGCTTCCTTCCTGCAGCTGCCACAGTCCAATGCAGATTGTCCTGTGGCTCTGCATTCCACTCCCTGAGAAATAATTAAACATCTCCATGCTGCTCCTGGGCTGCTGCGAGGGTCACCCCAATGGCATTTCACTCCTGGCTGTTGAATTGATGTAGTGGGGGTTCCCCTTGGCAGCTCCAGGTTGTGGCTGTGCCCTAGCATTGCTGCTGCTCTCTGACAGCTGGGTGGGTGCATGTGGGCAAAGCTGTGCCTGTTTTTCCCAAGTGGCCCCAGCTCAGGTTGTTCCTGTCCCCGCAGTGTGTCTGCCTGCAAGCTGACAGACGAGGCCTGCTTCATCCTCTATGAGTTCTGGCAGGACGCAGCTTCATGGAGAAGGTCAGGGACTTCCCTTGTGTGTGGTGGGGGGCTAGGAACTGGATGTGGGGGGTGGAAAGGGATTCTTCTGGGACTCCAGGGGGCCCTCACCAACCTGTCCTGCTCCCTTGCCCCCTTGTGTTCCAGGACTGATGGCAGCAAAGGGGGGCTGAGCACTTAGCTTGAGGGGTGGGAATGGGGTGGGAGCAGGGTGGGAGCAGCAGTGCTCTGGGCAGTGTCAGTGCAAACCTGGCCCCTCCCTGGCCCAGAGCCCTCCTGCAGCCCTGGGGCAGGAGCAGGACAGGCTCTTGGCCCTGACCCTGCACACTGCCCAACAGCCACCTCCAGTCCAGCCACAGCAAGATGTTCCAGCGGGCCACCATCAGCTTGCTGGAGTCCCCAGAGCTGCTGACCACGATGCTCTTCCCAGGTGAGTGGGGGCTTTGATGAAGCTGTGCTGTGGGTAGCAGCCTCCTACATCATGTTTCCAAATGTGCTGTGCAGCCTGAATTGCTGAGCAGCTGAGAGCAGTTCCTGGTGGAAGACACACACAGACCTGCTGCTGCCAGCCTGGGCCCCAGCTGGAGGTCACACTGACTGCCCACTGTGCTTCCCCCCCATCCCAGAAAGCTGGCTGTAGAGTATGTGCCTTCCTGGTCCAGTCCCAGGGGCTGTGTCTGAGCTTCATTTTTAAGGGTGCAGTCAGAAACCTACAGAGGGGGGGGTTTGGAGGCAGCTCTGAGACCAAATTGCTCTCCATTTCACTATTTACCGTGCAGGTGGTGCTGGTGCCTCAGCTCTCTCTGAGCAGGGCCGCATCCCTGCTCTGTCCCCCCTATCCTGCCCTCAACACCACATCCTGCCCTCCCTGCCTACTTCCCCTGAGCCTTTCTTTTTCTCTCCCCAGCCTCGTGGTGGATCATGAACAACAACTGACCTGAGCAGCTGATGCTGGTGGCACGCAGGATGTGAAGCCCCTGCACTGCCACTGCCTGTGCTCACATTTGTCACCTCTGCTCCCCCTCCTGCAGCCCCGGGGCCGCCTGCCTGCTGGCCCCTGCGTTGTTCATCATTTTGCTCTTTTTGTGTGATTAATTTATTAATTTATTTACTTCTATTGGAGGGGGTGAGTGTGGCGGTGCCACCCCTTCCTCCCCCCCCCTCCCGAGTGCAGCTCATGGCTCTATGCTGCTGCTGAGTGAACATAAACAGAACTGGCACCAGCAGAGTGTTGGCATGGAGAGTGTGTGGTTGTCACTGCATGCTGTGGGTTGGGAATGGCACTGTGAGGAGCCAGGACAGTACAGTGCCTGTAACAGCACAGTGATGGCTGTGTCCTCATGCTGCAGAGCCAGCAGAAACCGAGCTGCTGGGAGCAGTGTGAAGTGAGAGCCAGCATGGGCACGTGCCACGGCCCTGCAGGGGAAGGGAGAATGGCACAGGTCCTCTTCTGCCATGCACCTGTCCTGCAGCAGCAGCGTGGTGCTCAGCCCCACATCTCCCCTGCCCCTCACCTCTTTTCCCTGCTGGCTTTCACCAGAGATACTAATTTGAATGGTTCAGCTCCATTCCCCAGTTGTAGTCATTAAAATGCCATCAGCCTGTGCAGGGCCATGAGGCACAGAGGGGCAGGGGTTGGGATGCAGGAGAGGGCTCTGCTCACCCCAGCCATGGAGGTGGGGGATGGCACCCATGAGAGGACAAAATGCTGGGGGCTGCAGCTTGGCCACAGCTGCTGAGCAGTGCTGGGGGGCAGCTGGGGGTGACCTGCAGCCAGCAGCTCCCTGGGCAGCTGCAAACATTTCCCCACCCCCAAGCAGTGCCTGACCTCCAGCCCTCCATGGTCACAGCCCCTAAACCCTGGATTTTATCCCCATGTTTCTGCCCCCAGCGGCAGAGAGGGGAAGGCGCTGTGTGATGAGTAGAGTCTTTTTATTGACTACTTCTGAGTAGAACAAACTAAATACATCTGTAACAGTTTGGGTTCCTTTATACAGTACATTAAATAAGTTATGCACAGGAATGAAGTAACAAATCCCTATTACAGAATTAAATGTCAAAAAAAAAAAAAAGGAAAACTAGAAAACTCAGTCCCACAAGTCTGCCCATGTCCAAAGTTCACATGTATCATTATGTGTTTAAAAAAAATAATAATTCTAATCATGACTGTTAGTATTGTATTCATTTACACTGGGGTTAATTTTAATACACAGCCACCAAAGTTGCATGAGGATGATGGAAGACGATCTATGTACACACGCAGGCAGCACTCGGCCCTCACACTGCAGGCCATGGGTTGACCCCCACTGCTCCATGAGAACCAGGAGACTTTGGGGCTTTATTTTGTAAGATAAAACCCTGCAGAGGCAGGGCTGAGCTGCAGAGCAGCTCCCACAGCAGCGTTCCCTCCAGGCTGTGGTTGCTGCTCCTCCCCAGCACACCGCCCGCTGCACCGCTGCAAGCTCTGGGATCACTCCTTGCATCTCCATTATTCGCCTCCAATGGAAAAAGTGATCAAAAATAATTTGGGAATTACTTGCCTCATTGGGCTCCAACCCAGCGAGCACACAAAACCAGTCATGGAAACGCAGCTTTACTGAACAGATGCTTTCTTCAATCCCATTTGTGCGCAGCACAGCATGAGCTCAGTGCTGGTGCACTCTGCATCCTCCAGTTCCTGCACTGCTGACAGCACAGCCCTGCATCCCCCCAGCCCTGAGCAGCCTCTCCCCAGGCAGTGCTGGCTGCTGGGAGCTGAGAAGGGCAGCGTGGGGGTGCTGGGCCCCACAGCTTCAGGTAGGGCTCTGGGGCAGGAGTTGTGTGGGAAGAGCAGGCTGTGACACCACCCAGCACCCACCCTGCAACCTCTGTGGTTGAAAGCAGTAGTAACTCCCAAACCAACAACTTCCACGCAGCAAAAAAAAACCACTTCCTGCATAGCAAATATCTGCACCCAGATGGAAAGGGCAATAATCACCTGTGAGGGATTCAGATTTGGTCTGCAGGCATTCAAAGCTGCCTGGCATGGCACAGAGGGACTCAGTGCAGCCCCTGGAGCGGAGCTGTGTCCCCATTGCTGCCTCCACCACCAGGGTGATCTGTCCTTATCACTGCAGAGCAGGATGGGATGCTCCTGCTGGGACAGATGCTCCGGTGAGGCAGAGCATCACGCAGCCAGCAGCACACACTGGGAGCAGGGTAACAACAGACAGATGCACCTGGGGCCGAATACAGAGGGCTTTGGACAGCCCAAGGAAGGAGCTCACGTGTCTGAGCTAATGAACAGGGCTCTGCGTGCTCAGCACTCCTGCCTGCAGCCCCCACTCCTTCACAGAGACGGTGAGGAGATGCTGGGGGTGCTTGGGCTGCAGCTCTGTGTGCACTGAGCGAGGCAGGAGGGGCGGCAAAGCTTCCAACAGAGGTGGCCTGGATTTGTCCAACGTGTCAACTGATCCGAGTTCCTGTGGGTTTTATTTTCCGACTTCAAAAACCAAAACACCACCAGGACAATGAATGAAACGGGCTGAACCCAAACTTCCCCTTTAGAGTCCGTTCGTGTCTATCGCTGTCACAGACGCGGGCGTGGAGGAGCGGGAGGTGGCTGCCGAGCTCTTCTCCATGCTGGGGCTGGGCACGCCGTCCATGCCCTTGGCTGAGCGCCCTGCAGGCAGTGCCAGCCCCTTGCTGTGGCCATGCAGGCTCTGCCCGCAGATGCGGTGGTGCCGCTCCCAGTCCTTGTGCTGGCAGAAGGAGCCGCAGTAGCGCGCGATGTTGCAGCCGCTGCACGTCTCACTGGCCTTGCGGCCGCAGTTCCAGCAGCTCTGGAAGGAAACAGACATTGTGCTTTGAAACGGGTCTCGCAAACAAAGCTGTAGGAATGTAACAGAGCTGCTGCCCCAACAGCGCTGGAGGGAGCTGCTCACCCCCGCCGGCCCCCATCTGTTCACACTGAAATGGGTCCTGCCCTCGCACAGACCTCTGCCAAGCCCAGAGCAGCCGGACTGCCCCACTCCCACTCTGCCCAGATCCACCCAAACGCATGCAGCAAGCAGCAGGCAGGACTGGAGGACTGACACACACACACTGCTGTCTGGTTTTTCTATTTCCTGCTGTAAGCAGCTCTGTTCTGGTCTCAATCCCAGCCCAGTGCTCACCGCGGGGATCCCAGCGTGCTGCACCGCTACCAACTGCTCTGCCCCTGGGTGGAAGCACAGTTGTGAGTGGGACAAGGAGCACAGCAAAGCCCCTGGCCTGCAGCCCACAGCCAGCTCAGTGAGAGCACGGGGCCAATGCTGGAGCTGCAGCCACAGCTGCTTCAAGGGAGTGGGGGAACAGCTGAGCTGCAGCTGGGCTCGTGTGATGGTGAACACCCACCCAGAGGGTGAGTGCAGCTGCCACCAACACTCAGTGCTGTGGGCAGGAGTAGGAGGCTGCAGGGTGGGCAGGCAGCACATGGGGCTGCACTGGGACAACCTGCAGGCTGCTAGCAGCCCACAGCAGCTCTAGGAAAGCTGTGTCACTGCTTTAAGCTGCTTACATTTCAACCACTGCTGTTAAATCATGCTCCCGAGGTCACACTGTGCGCCAGGATGCACGCCAGCTTGTAAAGCCCCCAGAGAAGAAGTCCCTGGTGCTGGAGGATCAATCAGGGATGCTATCAGCTCCCAAGGCCCTGCTCTGCTCCCACTGCTCTGTGCAGCAGTGTGGGGCAAAGGATGGAGGCAGAGGAGGGGATACACCCCAAAAATTCCCCTACAGAGAACGACTGCTCACCTCATTCCTCCTCAAGCAATTCCACCCGCTCCCATTGTCTGTTTACTGGTTGCTGCATTGGTTCATCCTTCAATGATTTCATGGGAAAGCACCAGAGCACACACACATCTATAGCAACACCCCATGTCCACACAGCTGCTGCCGTGTGCGGGGATCAGAGCTTTCCAGAGCATCCCAAGGGAGGACAGAACTATACTGGCTGCCCACACGGCCTGGGGTGACACAATTCCTCACTCACTTCTCAGTTCTGCTGAGCTGAATCAGGCAAAGCCTGAAGCATTTGAGCAGAGAAGCGACAACACTGAGCCAGCCACAAGTGGCTGTGACGTCGCAGAGCAGGAATTACCCAAGCAGCTCCTGCTCAGCCCCTCTGAGACCTCCAAACCAAATGGAATGCATTCCCAGCCAAAGAGCAGTGAGGGTATCTAATGGCTGAGGAATCAGAATAGCTCTGACACTCACTCCCTGCATTCTGCTGTGACAAACCTGGAGGCACCCACTCTTTTCTGAGCTGCCATAACCCCACTGGGTGTCCTCAGACTCTGCAGTATGGGGACAGCCATCCTATGCACACTTCCCCTGAAGCCTATGGGGTCAGAGGAGCAAGAGCTGTGCAGAGCCAGATCCCAGAGGGCAGCCAGGCACACACCTGTGCAGCATGAGCCTGCAGAGCAAAGTCCCAGACAACACACACCCGGTGCTGCTCAGCAGCACCACAGGCACATTGCAGCCACCAAACAGTGGCAATTCTGAGCAGGATGTAAAGCTGTCCCACCAACACTCTTTTCTCTCTGCAGAATCCCCTGCAGCCGCCCCACACTCCGCTGACGGTGCCCTCACACCACTGCTGTGCTCCCAGGGCTTTTAAAAGGGATGAAAGCAAGGCAGGGGACACCCAGGCACTGCAGGGCAGGACCCAGGGCTTGGGACTCGTGGGCCTGCCCAGCTCCATACCTCTGTGGACTCCTCCTGCTCATTGATCACCAGGAAAGCATCCTCGGTGGCCTGGCGCTTGGCATCGGCGATGGTTTGCTCCATGCGCGCCCTCTCGGAGGCGATCATCTCAAACGCCTTCTGCTCTGCCTCTGCCACAGCCTTCTGCACCTCCGACATGGCCTGGCGCTTCACCTCGTTCACGGCTTCTTCTGGAAGGGAAGCTCAGCCTCACCAGCCTGCCCAGACTCTGCGGCCGCGTGTCCCCATTCAACACAGGGAGGGCTGCCCTGGGCGCACCGCCGGCTCCAGGGGGAGCAGAGCCCGTGCCAAGGCCACGTGGGGCACAGACAGCAGCGTGCAGCCTGGGCTGTGCTGCAGGAAGGCTGCTCCACTCAGTGCACTGCAGCACCAGAGCTCACCCTGGGCAGCCCCACAACCGGTGCTCACCTGCTTTCTTCCATATCTCCTCGGTGACGTAGCCCGGCCCCGACCTGCTGCTGAACTCCCGCAGTGAATCTGTTGGAAGAAGAGCGAGGCAGGGAGGGTTAACAGGGCACAACTCACAGCAGAGGGTTCCTCCAGTTGGGGCCGTTCATCAGACACTTGGATGATAAATCACAGCCCTTAATTAGTGCCCTGCATAATTTGTGATGCAGTATAACCCATCCCCATCTCCCAGCACTCTGCAACAACTGGAGATACAGGCACGTCACCAAACGCTGTGTGCTGACCCCAACACCAACCCTCAGCAGCTCACAGCCAGCACAGCATCCATGGGGACACCCACATGGGGATCCATGCCCACGCCACACAACCCTCGTGCTGTCTTCCATCCCTGCCCTTTTTTAGTGCTTTGAAATCTCATCTATCTCCCTTCAGTGAAACTTTAAAAGCCACTGATCCCTTCAGCTTTGCAATTCAGATCTGCATGGGGTTCCCACCGCAGGGCAAGGGCTGAGCTACAGCACAAGGACCTCTGACTTCAATCTGTTCTCCCTTCCACTTCCACACTCTCTCCCACCCTGGGTTCAACACACACCACCCCAACTATTGCTTCTGTGCAGAAATCAAACTGAGGTAAAGCCCTCAGGATAAATTAGGTTTTAAGGCTGCAAACTGCAAATGCTCAATAACAAATTCTACTTTAGTTCCTGTTGCATGGGTACATGCTGTTGTTTCACAAGAAATGCTCATTTTTGCTGTCTGAGAACTCCCAAAACTCATCCAAACACAGCTAAACCTGACCCAGACCCTAATTTGGGTACCTTTCTGACATCCAGGAGGATTCACTTTATGTATTAATCCAAACAAGTTGAATATTTATCATTGAATTGTAAGAGTTGGGGGGGGACTTTTAAAGGCCATCTGGTCCACCCCCTGCAGTGAGCAGGGATGCGGACATCAGGTTGGTCAAACTGGGATTCTGAGCTTTAAGAATTGCATGCATTGAAGTCCTCAAGGTCAGAAATGATTTGGGTTTCAGTGAGAACTACGTGCTCTCAAACTGGGGGGGTGAAGACAGCTTTCCACCTGTAAGTTAATGCTTAGAACTGCCACAATGACAGATGAATTGTCATCCAAAGCAACTAACAGCTTTCTCCCCATGATTTCATTAAGTGAAGTCAAGCTCATCTTTCCAGTATGTTCTATTTAATGACTCATTATCAGTCTGAAGAGTTTCAGAGCCAGCAGTCAGCCACTGTGCTGGAAGAAGAAATCATTGCCCACCACAGGTATGAAAGAAACACCAGAACAGGGCACAGAGGTGGAGCTCATCTAGAACCAAGGAAGCTTGACTTTCCTCATATAAAGGGGCTTAGAAAAGAGATGGAGAAAGACTCTAAATCAGGGCCTGGGATATCAAGACTAAGGGGCAATGGTTTGAAACCAAACAAGAGCAGATTTAAATTGGACAAAAGGAAGACACTGATGACAGTGAGGACGGTGAGGCACTGGCACTGCTGCCTGGAGAGCTGTGGGTGCCCCATCCCTGGAGGTGCTCAGTGCTGGGATGGAGGGGACTCTGGGCAGCCTGATCTGGGGGGCAATCCAGCCCATGGCAGAGAACTACGTAAATGTCCTTTAAGGTCCCTTCCAACCCAAACCACACTGTGATCCACTTCAGTTGTACCCCTTATGCTTTGCTATAAACCTACTATTTAAAGACCCATTTTCAGATAAAAAACCCTTTTTCTCGTGCAGCCTCCAACCCAGCACCGCTCACCACTGCCGATGGAATCGGAGCTGCCGGGGCTGTGCCTGGCTGTGCCCAGCTCTCCCCCAGCCTTGCGTGGCTCAGCCTCACTGCACCGCCTCTTCCAGTAGTTGAGCTCCTCACGGTCAGCCTCCTGGCAGCGCCGCAGCACAGCCATGGAGCGCCGGGTCTTCTCCACCATCTCCATGATGCAGTTCAGCGCCTGGAGGGAGGGAGGCTGTCAGTTCTTCTGCCACTGCTCAACCAAGCTGGCTCTTGAGTTTCCCACTGGAGGTGCCCCAGGGACTTTCCCAGTAAGGGAAACCCAAAGTTATTTCAAAGCAAAAAGATGTGAGCATGGTATCTCAACAGTATTCAAACAGATACCACTGGGTCTCGTGGCCATCCGTGCAGTGATGCTGTGGATGTTAGCACCTCCCGGGAGCTCAGGCTGTGTCTGAGCTCAGCATCTGGTTTGGTCACCAGCAGATGTGGCCATGCTGCTAAAGGTGGAGCGAGAATAAACTGCTCTCCCATGGGAGCACAGTGCCCATGCTGTTGGCTGTGCCCCCACAGCAGTGGGGATGTGTCTTTATGATTTATGACATCTCTCTCTCCAACCTAGAGAAATTTGTCTTGGTACCAGCACTCCATAGGTACATCCCAACTTAAAATATTCACCTATGGGGCCTTCTGCTCCATATCCAACCACATGAAGCATCAGCTTTAGGGCTTAAGTAAGCATAAGAGCCCCTCTACATTTCTGATCAAAGCTGAATTTCAATTCCATCTCTCCAGGGGAAGCATTCCAGAGAAGTGCTTGGGTCAGCAGCCTTGTTCAGCACAGAAAAACAGGCTCTGCAGAAAGTCTGCCAGAAGTACCAAGTCTGCCCATACCCAACCATGGGTATGGGTAACCATACGGGCTGGCAATCCAGGAGAAAAAGCCTTCAACCAACCCCAGTATTGTTTTGGTTTTTTTTTAATCTGTAAGCTCCATACATGTGCTGCACACAACACATCTGCATGCTTGTTGGCACAGTGCTGGCCTGGGCAGCTGCTGGAAGACCTGTGCAGGTTACTCTGACCTGTGCAGGATGTTCTGACAGCCAGCAGGAGCAGCTCTCCAGCACCAAACACTTGGTCCAAACTGCTTTTGGCTTCCACTGAGCACAGGCAGAGGAAAAATACCAGGAAACTGCTCCTGCTCCTATCTGCCCCTGTTGACCTACTTGTGGCAGCCTGTCCAACTGCTTTTAAAGCCTGGATAAGGTATCATATCAACAAGAAGGAAATCACTAATTGGAGCAGGTGAGCAGTGGGTCGCTGTGTCCCACAGAGCTCCCCACACCTCCCACCTCCTTACATGATCGAGGTGCTTCCACTCGTCAGCCCACTCCCTCTCAGTCAGGCGGTGGTCCACCAACTCGTCCTGGTAACCTCCATTCAAACCTGCAACAAACCACAGTGATCAGATGGAGCAAATGCTTTCAGTGCTGCAGAGGGAACTCAGCCCCAAAGCCACAACAGAGCAGGATTTCTAACCAGGTAGAGCTGTAGTTTTAAAACACATCTCCAAGACATGGCTTATGGGGCTAATTGCATACGGCTGCTCTGATCCTTGCTTGTGTCATTGCCTCAGAAGTGCTATGATCCCCTCACAGGCCTGGACCTGGCTTGCTCTACAGGCAGCTCCCTATTTGTAAAGCCAAAGGGCTCTGAGCTGTGACTCAGGTTGCCCTGCTGGAAACAGGGCAATTGCTTCCACACACCACTACCAGCACCAGGAGAGAGGAGAGGTCACACACTGCTTTCCTCACACACCACAGATGTCCTACATCAGTCATCTCTGAAAGGCTAATTTCTATTTATTTCCACAGCCTTCATCTCTGCATCCACAGTCAGCACCAACACCAGGTCCTGCTCGCTCCTCACCCCTGGTGGCTGCAGTCTTATACACACAGAGGGAAACTGCAGCTCTGCCTCTCCCTCTGTCTTCCTGCTTTTAACTTTTCACTATTTGACGTTCTGACTTCTCTGCAAAACCCCTCAACTTTCTTATGGGACACACCTAGAATTACAACCCAAAGCCCCGCAGAGCTGCTCACCGAGCCCGCCGTGCCTGTCCCGGATCTCCCTGTGCTCCAGCATCTTGCCAGGGTCTCTGTACAGATGGGAGGTGGCGATGTCTTCCAAGGTGTAGTGCTGGAGGGGTGGTGGGGTGGGGTGGAACTGCCCACCAGGGTTCAGCATTGGGATGCTGAGTGCTGGGCTGTGCCGGGGCGCGGGGCTGATGGTGCACACACGCTTGGCAGGCGGCTCCGTCGGCAGCGGCTCTCTCTCAAAGCTGTTGTCATCCCTTCTGTAACCAACCAAGAGACACAGGGATTTGTTAGTGCTGCATAAACAGGCACGGGAAGGGAAAGATGAAGAAATTGAAACAGCAGAATTTGGGCAGTGCTGATTTACCAGAGGGGTAGAAGGAGGGAGCTGAAACAAACACGACCGACTTGTGAACAAATCCACGGAATGACCTTGCTAAAAGGAGTTCAAAATGCCCAAGTGTTGTGATTCATCTTTCTGAGCACAACCAAATTAAGATTTCACAGTTTCTATAAATTTGAAGTGTGCTCCACATAATTACATAACGACTTTTCCTTGGAATAAAGGCAGCAAAAACAAAACCATGTCCTTTCCTGTGCTGAAAGTGCCTCCAACCTGCTGCCTTCCTGGCTCAGGCACTTGGGTGACCTGCTCCCAAAAAAATCCCCATGGGCAGGATCTGCCCGAGAGCCCTTGGAGAGGATCTGCAGCCAAATTATCAGTGCTATAAGCAGGAGCTACAGCCATAGACAGCAGCATCTCACCAACAGCTGTAAGGAGTGGCCCAGAACACAGTTTAAAGTTTTAATTCACCTTCACTGCTGTCCAAAAACATGACTTTGGGAACAGAATGGCAACGGCTCCTTTACCTGTCAGGGCTGTGCCTCTTGCTGTTCCCATTGACCTCGATGAGCAGCTCTGAAGAGTCGGCTGGGGAGGAGGTGGTGTTGAGAAGGATGTGCTCATGCTGCGCCAGGTACTGGGATGGTGTCTGCTTGGCAGCCCGGGCGCAGTGCAGCAGCTCTCTCTGGAGCAGAGGGAGGTTGGCCTGGAAAACATGCACGGCTCTGCTTCACGCAGCCTGCATGGACACGAGCAGGTTTGCTCAGAGAGCATGAACAGCTCAAGCCTGGGGTCCCGCTCAGCATTTCCCAGCTTGTCATGTCTGCGCTGGGCAGACCTACCTGTGTTTTCTCAGGGGCTGGGGATGGCCTGGGGCTGGTACACACAAAAGCACTGTGGGAAGCACTCTGTGCTTCCAGCATCTCGCTGCCCCAGACACAATAAGCCAACACTTCAAACACTCTAGATCCCAACATTTTCAAACTGCAGAATGGAGATTGGTTTGTCTCATTTACCCCTAACACACAAGCAGATATACGTGGCTCTCATTACAAAGTCAGCTTTCTGACAGCAGCACGTGGCAATGGCCACGGTCTGTGCAGTCTGTCTTGGATAGAATAGTTCTGGTGCTTGTTATGAGAGCTTCCCCAGCAGGGACACGCTGCCAAGCAGCACAGCCCTGAACAGCACTGTCAGCCAGCCCCACCAGCTCCTGTTACCTTCAGGAAGGGGATCACAAAGGGCCGCAGGGGGAAGTTGGTCGCCTCTTGCAACTTGCAGTGAAATTCCTCAATCGTCACTGTTGAGTTCTGAGAAAAGAATTAAGAAATGAAATGACCGTTTGTTCTTACTTTTAGATGCTTGGAAAACAGCTCAAAACAAACAGAACTAGTAAGGAGACTGCATCTGCCACAACAGCACTGACAGTGCTCACATCAGATCCTGCCTCACACAGCCAAACAGACTCAGGCCAACGGAGCAGAACGACTGCAACGGGCATGGGGGGCTGTGGGCACTGCCAGAACCAGAGCAGGGGGCAGCAAGCCCAGCTGGCACCTCCTGCAGCCCAGCCAGGTGGCCCAGGGCAGGCTGGGGACGGGCAGCAGCTCCAGCTGCTTCTTCCCTCCCTTCCAGCTCAGCTCACCCAACTTATCCGCCATATACAAGGTCACCAGCAGCCTGCTGCTCCTACACCGATGTTCCCAGGTTGGGTGCTACTTGGAACAAACTGCACACACAAAGTTCATCCCTGCAGCAATAATTGCCATCGGGGGGACATGAGGGATGAGCAGAGGAACTTGAACAGTTTGTCATTTCCTTTGCTGGAGGGTAAACTAATGTGCTGCCTCACACCCATGGAAATACAAACAAGTGCCCGCCTGCTTCAGCAGCAGCACTTGGTGCCCGCTGCTCAAGTCCAGTGAAGAACCCCAAGGCTGCAGACTTGTGTATGCTCTGCCCGTGCCAACCTGGGGAGCAGCAATACTTCAGGCTTCCCGTGGTCCAGCTGCGTTTGCTGCGTGCTCAGCCTCTAAGCAAGGATGCTGAGAAGCACAGATCAGCTCAGAGCTGTGCTGGGCCATGCAGCAGGTGGCAGCTGGGCAGGTGGCACAAGGCTGTGCTCCAGGACCTTGGCTGGGCGTGCACAGGGCTGTGCAGCATTCCTACCAGTCAACTTGTACCACTGCAAGTACTGGATCCAGTCCTGCAAGGCCTGCTCATTTCTTTACTGAAGGATGTTTTCAGCTCTCCTTAGATGCAGAGGGGGAGGAGGTCGTATGTGCACTGTGTGCACCAGCAGCAGCAAGCCCAAGCACAAAAGATGTAAAAAGTGTCATTTACCAATCCCCTTCCTGCTACTGCACTGTCAGACTGCCATAAAAATGAATTCAGTTAGTGACAGTTTGCCCAGCCATGCGCTTCTTGTAGATGCAAGCAAAGCACTGAGGCCTCCTGCTGCAGTGCCAGGCTTTCAATGTTCCCCAGGCCTCTGCAGTGCTAGTGGGGCTGCACTGCACTTTGCAGGAGGCAAAAAGCCCACTAAATGCCCCCCGTGCTCAGCACTGCGTATCACAAATGAGGTACAGAGACATCCTCTACCTATTCAAGGCTTAGAAATTGATTTCTTTCAAAAAGCAGCAGGCACAGAGAGCACCCCCACAGTCCAGCATCACCCCCTCTCCACCCAGCAAGTTGTGCATGCAGCACCTGCAGCAAACAGGATGGTGGCCCAGCATGCAAGGCCCACCAGCTCCCTGTAAGATGCTCTCTCCAAAACAGCACCCAAAGCCACCGGTCCGTATTTGCAAATGGAAGCACCATCACCTCCCCAGAAATCACACATCCCTTCTGCTCTGGGCTTAGGGATGCAAAGAAGAGAACACTTCCCTGACAGAAAAGCACAGGCTCCTGGGAGTTGCTGGGAGCTGCATTACAGGAGCAGAACAGGAAGCACAGCACTGCTCATGGCTCCTAGTGAGGAAGGCAAAGAACACCAGGCATGCAGCTTCTACCACAAAGCGTAGTCCCAAGCCCTCTGGGTTTCCATAAGCCCAGCTGCACCTGGGCCCATGTCAGTGCAATGGAACAGATTGCTTTTGAAATCCACCGAAGAAAAAAATAAAAAATAAAAAGCCAGCGAGTTTACCAGAAAGCACAAACAATACAAGCTGTGCTCAGCCAACAGCTCTGCTTGCAAAGGCCCACGATATTGTGCAACGGGGGCACGTGTTGGCTGCTGGGATCCCATCACTACAACGCTTTTGCAAAAAGAAATGTCCCCTGGGCTTCCCAGGGAGCTGCTTACCACCAGGGCCAGGACCAGGGTCCGCACCTTCTCCCCGATCTCCGGAGAGATGTCATTGCCAAACTGCTGCAGGGTGGTGAGGAAACGTTTCAGCTTGCTGAGCTGCCGTGCGCCGCACGTGGCCGGGAGCTGCTGGTTGGTCAGTGAGGAAGAGGAGGAGGAGGCCGGGCCGTTGCCAAAGCGCTGGGGTGGGGATGGTGCCCCATTGAGCGTCGGTGGGGAATGGTTCATCCCATTGGGCACTGCAAAATGGAGACAAAAGTGTTATGGCATGAGATGGGCTCGGCCCTGAAGGCTGCGTCCTGCCTGCAGCGCGTGACCGTACTCCCCATGGAGCTGAAGGGAGTTTGGCAGACACGGCTGTTTGTCCAAACCAGTCCCATCTGTGACCGGGTCTCCTTTAAGCAGAAAGCGTGATGAAACTGACTGCAGCTCGGGAAGTCCGCATGGGATTAGAATAAATTGTTGACATCCCCTCAGTGCTGTTGTGCAATCTGAAGTCGTGTCTGGGAAATGGTGAAAGCAGCTGTGCATGGGGGGCCCAAACTTCAGATAAACCCAGAATGTTAGAGGTGAAAAATACACCACGGTAAATACAGCTGTGGCTGATGCACAGGGTTGGCCTTAAAAGCCCAGAGCTGAACGATGCACCTCTCCAATGAGACAGGCTGAGGGAGCCAGGGCTGCTGGCCTGGAAAAGACATGGCCCCAGGGAGACCTCAGTGCAGCCTTCCTGTACCTGAAGGGAGTTCACAGAAAGGAAGGGAGCAACTTTCTACATAAGCAAATAGCGACAGAACAAGGGGGAACGGCTTTAAACTAAAAGCAGGGAGATTTAGGTCAGATGTTAGGAAAAAATTTGTTACCCACAGGGGTGTGGTGCTGGCAATGCTGCCCAGAGCTGTGGGCGCCCATTCCTGCAGGTGCCAGAGGCCATGGACAGGCCCTGGGCAGCATAAGCTGAGGGCAGCCAGCCCACAGTGGGAGGGGGAGAGGGGAGAAGCTCCCAATGAGCTGCTACAGGCATGGGAAGGCATGTGCTGGCCGCAAAGGAACGCAGCCTGCCAAAGATGCCAGCATTCCCACTGCAGCTTCCCCAGGATTGCTCCTTGGGTCTTCCAAAGAATCACACCTGGGAGGGTTTTTCAGAGAAAAGTACTGAGGCATTGGAGCAGTTAAACCACCCCGGGGCACAGCAAGGCTCCACACACCTGGAGCTGTGGGGTGAGCACGGAAAGAGGAAACACAGTCAGTTGAGATCCAAAGGAAAGATAAGGGCAAAGAGACCAACCAGGGCAAAAGGCTTTTCTGGGGCATAACAAAGACACACTCCTTTGTGCAGAGAGCGATGATGAAATGAAAGTAAAGGCTGAAGACAGAGCTGTGAAGGCAAAACGGGCTGGTGCCTTCTGTTCTGGGTCAGTGCAACCAAAGAAACTCATGGCCACACTTTCCCAGGCCAGGAAAGGAACAGAGATGACCTGCAGAGATCAGCAATACCTGCCATAGCAGCAAATACTGAGCTCACTTGAAAGGCAATGGCAAGTACTCACAACAGGCATTGCTTCTGCAGTAAACGTGTAATAAAGGTGGGTAAAGCCACTCCAAGCAGAGCACAGCCTTGTGCACAGCCTTGTGCTCTCCAGAGCTGCAGCCAAGGAGCTCTGCCCCATTCCCTGTTTCTTTCCTCCTGCTCTTAGCAAGGGAAGGAGGAGAGTGCAGGTTGCTGCGTGTGGGCAGGAAGGAGCAGGGACTGCAGGGGAGTACAGGAATATGAAAGTCATCCTTGAGGGCTACACCACTAAATTCTGCAACAGGTACCAAAACCATCTCTCCTTGTCTTTACATCCCTTCACAGAGCAGGGTGTGCAAAGGGTGGCTCTGACCACTGCCTATGTGCACAGCCAAGAAGTGAAAAGCATGAGTAAACTTCATCACAGCTCGTCGTGCTCACTCTACTGAAAAGAGGCAGTGAAGTCATCAGGTCCCAGCAGATTCAGGTGACTTGGCCCTTAACAGTGTGCCAAGCAGCCTTATTGGAAAAATTAATTTCTATCACTTTGCTAATGGTCTTTTTCTGCCTTAGCAAAAGGAGAGCCATTAAAAAACCCTCCGTGTATAAAGCCAGGGACAACGTGTCTGGCGGGATAACCCAGCGATTTGCACTGCTGCCAGCATCTCTCAGTGCATTAGCTGGTGTCCTGAAAGAGGCTGAATGGTAGCGCTGTGAAATCCCCTGCCAAGATGAAATGGAGATGCCCCAGACACTGCTGTGGGTAGCAGAGCAATAACACAGCCAGGGGACCTCAGCATGGAATAAAGGTGAGGAGAGAATGAAATGTCTGCATGCCATGAGTGGGGTAAGGTAATTCCATGCTTGAGTGTGAAGTAAAACAGCTGTGCTCTGGAATAATGCTTTTAGATAATGAGATTTTAAGATGATGGCTTAAATGTTTCCTAAAAGGAAAAAGCATGAGCCTGTGTTCTTCCTGTGAGGTGGGGCTGAACACCCATCCCACCTGGTGAGCTGCCTCTGAGCAGCGCCCTTAATGGGAGAGGTTATGGAGCAAAGATGGAGAACAGAGAACTTGGACAGACAGTGAGAAATGTCTGAGGCTGTGAAATTAAAAGAGGAAAACTTTCTAATCTCAGCTGCAGAAATGCTGTCTGCAAAGCGAGATACAGCAGAGTGGGAATTAACTCTGCCAGATACAGCACAAGGCTCAGCTCCTGGCTTCTTTGAAGCCAACCTGATAAAAGCCTTCCATTTCTTAAGGAGGTTATTGCAGAAATCACATCTGCACCTGCACGGAGAGGGACCTGGAGAGACTGTGACAACACTGGGACGAGCAGGAGTGGGCAGGGTTGTACTACAGACCCCATGGTATGTCCTACATAAGCAGAAGGAAAGGCCCAGCCCTCGCTCCCAGCTGTGCAGCTCTGTGCTGGCCAGCAGCCGGGCAAACAGGGAGCCCTGCCAGATGCTGGCACAAGCAAAGCTCCTCCTCACTGGGCCAGTCCCTTGGCAAAATGATTTACTGGGGGCTTACGTGCAGCTGGGGTGAAGGAGACGGGCCGAGGGCCGCCAGGGTTGACGGGGGGCAGTGGTGGCATATTGGGAGGAGAGGACCTGGTCTGTATCTTCACTTCCACGGGCGAGCCGGGCATCACTGGCACCCTCTTCTCACCAGCAACTGTATGAAGAGAACATGGACACGTTACCAACAGTCCTCACAGGGATTTCCCTGCCAAGCACGAGAAGCAGAACTGCAAAGGCTTTCCTTCCATTTTAACTGCAGAGGGATACCGAAACCTCAACAAGCTGCTATTATTTTAACTATGATAAAATAACAATACTAATATAACACTGCTAAACACTACTCACGCACACTTGGCCATGCTTTCACACCACGTGCCTCTCACTGGCACACTGCTGCACAACCACAGCGCTCACACTGCAGAAGGAGCAGCACTGCTTTGTGCACAGGAGCTGCCCTGGCTTGGTGCAAAGCCCTGGTACCCCCTTGTCCTCACCCCCCAGCCACAAGCTTTGGACACCAGAACATGGCCACAGGTCCACCTTGGTTCCTCTTCTTCCCCTCTTCCACTGCGTACATACACAACTGGATTTTGCCATGAAGAAAAACTGAGCCTGAAACAAATCTTAAAGGCTTTTCTAAATCTGTTCTCCTAAAGCATTCCTAGGGCATGCCACGCACAGCATGGAAGCACCAGCAAAAAAAGCAGGACTAACCTGGTTAAACTGCAGAGGGGGAAAAAGAGCCACAGATTTGATTCCCTAGAATACAACCAGCTAGCACTGTGCTACCAAATGAGAAAGAAGTTACCCACAGGGAGGGTGGTGAGGCACTGGGACAGGGTGCCCTGGGAGGTGGTGGGTGCCCTGTCCTGGTGACACCAAGGTCAGCTGGACCAGGCTCTGAGCACCTGATGGAGCTGTGGGTGTCTCTGTTCACTGCAGGGGGATGGGACTAAGTTTAAAGATCCCTTCCAACTCAAACTATTCTACAGTTCTATGAAAGCCAAGTCTAGAGGAGCCAGCACCTCACCTTCGGATGCACTCCAACAGACAGCACAGACCAGGCAGGGCTGATAAAGCAAAGCTTTCTGCTAAAGGCCTGGGACCTCTAAAATCCAGATAAAACCCATCCTTCTCAAACTCAGTTTTAGCCTAACCACATCCATTTCTTGAGAACCATGCCTGCAAAACAGGCTGTGAGCGAGGACGTGAGCCAGCCCCTGGCTGACTGGGACTGAAAACCAGACAGCCTTTGTCCCATGGAGACACTGCCTTCCCCACCTCCTCCTTGCACATTTCACTATTTAGAAATATTTACCAGCTCACCAATGGCAACACAGCAGTGCTGCCTCCAGAGGCACAGAAGACACTGCAGGTCCCAGCACAGCTGCAATCATGGCTGAGAGCTGAACACCAGCTCAGCTCTCTGGCTCACGTTGCACCAAGGGCCATCCTTGCTGATGGCTGAATGCCCCAAGCGTCAAGCAGGACACCTGCCTGCCCTGGGACGCTGATGGGTTTTCCATCAGCAAGGCTTGTTCCAGCCCAGGTGCTGAGTGCTCCCATGCAGCTCTTCTCAAAACGCTTATAAATGTTGTGTCTGTTTTTCCAGCAGCGCCCGCAGCACACGGACTGAGCACATTCATGGCCCAATGCTTTTACCACTGCTGCCAACTGACCCAACCTGGTGATGACACAGGGACTTTGCACGCAGGAACAGCAATCTGAACCACGGAGGGGGCTGCAGCACTGCGGTCCCATGGGAGGGCTCCAATGGGAGCAGTGGGACATCACACAACAGGATGATTCACCAGGAGCAGAGAGAAACCTGAGCATGGAGACACTGTTCCAATCCCAGCTCGGTGCAGGAATGCCACATCCTCAGGAAGCTGATGGGGCAGATTCTGCAGTGTGTGGAGTCACGGCTTTCAGATGCTGCAGAGCTCCTGCCTGGAGTGGGACAGCCATGGCACAGAGCCTGTGCAGTGTGCCCCACGTGGGGCAGGCACCTGCCCCAACACACCACGCTCAGTGATTCCCCTTACAGAAGCCTTCTGACTACTGTGTTTAGTGCACAGATAGTGTTGCTATGATAGGTAACCTCAGAAGAATGGCTAACATTTGCTTGCACCGTAAACTGTATATAGAAGCTGCTTTAGTAATCTCTCCCTGCTTGTGGATTCAAGAAAAGGCACGGGTGAAAAGAGCCACAAGTCAGGGAGCATCTCAACCCCTCTGGAACTGACGTTAATAATACTAACACACCTTTGGTAATCAGAGAACAAAGTAACAAAAAGGAAGAAAAATACTGCATGGTGAGAAAAGGGCACTGCTTCCCTGTACAGCCAAGGCAAGGGCTGTGGGGCAGCTCGGGGGCAGGCACTGCCCCACACCTCTCCCCACTGCATTTTTGCTGCGCAGATCCACACGAAGCCAAAGCCCTGAGCTGGCTGCGATGCTGAGCCACGAGGCTGCAGGGAGCAAAGAGCACAGGGAGAGAGCAAGAGCACTGATACAGCACACAGCATGTGGATGCTTCATACACATTTCTGTGATAATATTTATATGTGCACAACTTAACACCATACCACAAGCCCTACGCACCAGCACAGGCAGTATCTGTAGGCTGTTAAGCCCTGCTGTCAGCTGCAGACAGCAAAACCTTTCCTGCTTCTTGATGGGAAGCAGATCTGAGCCTGTGGCTGAGGACACACAGCATGGATGGGGGCAGACCCAGGTGCTGTTGATGCAGGTGTGGGATGCCCTTGGCTAGGGTTCAGGATGAAGGAGGAACCCGCTGCACCCAGGCTGACAACAGCTGCACAGAGCCCTACTGCTTCCTCACAGCCCTGTTCACTGGGCTCAGGCACTCCAGCTCAGCAGGCTGTAGCTTTCTGAGAAGTCAAAACAGGGAACACGTTGGAAGGAGCGAGGGAAAAGCATGCTGAGCATGGCACAGCTGGCTGTAATGCACGCATCAGGATCTGCTTTTTGCTTTTGCAGATGGCAGGGTGGAGAGAGTAAAGTCACAAGACTGCATCACCAAGGCTTTGGCCACTCAAGGTTAGAGGTGAGGTCTGTGAGTTTAGCCAGTTGGTGCCTTTTGAACAACAGTTCAGAATCAGAAAAGTAGGTGACAGTTTCAGACAGAGAGGTTTAATTGGAGCAAGCGCCTTTAACTTCCACGTAGTACACATGGAAGTGTACACAAATACATCACAGAGCACACAAGATGTGCCTCAACTGAAGCAGCCACTCCTCGAGGCTCAGAGCCCCAACAAGCTCCCACACCAGCAGCATGCTGGGCAGATGGGCACAGATCACAGTGCACAACATGGCTCACCCCAGGGTGCCCAGCAGTGCCAGGAGACAAACCACGCTCTGGAGGCACCGCTGCTTCCTCTGACCTGAACCTCATATATAACACAATCACCAGCAGCTCAGCCAAAGCCTTCCCAGCAGCAGAGGCTCAGCGACCCCACTGGGGTCCAAATCACAGCTTTAGGATAAAGCAAAGCCTGTCTGGGTGCCAAAAGAGACCATCTGAAAGAGCAAAGCAAAGGACTCCAGTGCCACGGGCCAGCAGGACCCCGTCCATGGCCTAGGAGAGCTGCTTCAACACAACCCCATACATTACCCTGGAGAAAAGGCCCCAGAGCTCAGTCCTGCTCCAGGCACCACGCTCACACCGTGCTGCAGCTGGCTCTGCAGCTCCTGACAGGCAATCTGCATGCAAAGAGAAGCAGCACCCGTGTAACCTGACCTGCTCGAGTAAATAGGCTGAAGTGAAATATGGCTCGCCACCTCCCAGCTTTGCTGAATGTTTATTTTGAATAACATGCTTATCTGCTCCAACTGCTCACCATCTGTTTCCAGTCTCCACCAAGCTAATATTTTTCACATTTAGGCACCGAGAAATGGGAAGAATTACATTTAAATTTTATTAACATCTTTCCTCCTCTCCGAGGTCGCCATTCCCTCCCCTCGCCAGCTCTGAGCCATCTGCAGAGCACCTCTGCAACTCCAAGGCTTACACAGGGCTGCCTGCATGCAGCTTCCAGCAGCTTGCTGCCGCTCCAGCACCGCTTCCAGGCAGTTCCCAACCCTCAGAACTAAACCGAGGAAGGACCCAGCAGCACTGTCGCATCACCAAGCGATGGAGGAGGAAGGCAGGAAGGCTCTGGAATGGGGCAGCTGGCAGCAGCCCAAGGAAACACGGGGCTGGGGTACTGAATCCTCCTTAGGGAGTGACAGAGAGCTCTGAAGTCAGCTTTCACCCCGTTGCTGCTGGGTGCATGGCACAGCCACGCCGTGACCTGCAGGCTGCAGTGGGAGGGAAGGACGGCACCTCGTGCAGAGCCCCACGGCACTGCGAGCTGCTGAGCCTGGGACCGGAGCTTCGTACATCAAAAATAAACGCGTGCATCTCCTCTGCCATCTCCTCCTCTCCCACACACAGCTGCTTCGCTTTAAATCGCAATTCGGCGCAGCGCTCAGATAGAGGAACTTGAAAGAGCAAAGTATGTTATCATTTGCAACCAGTCCAGAAAGCAGTTAATAAGGGAAATAAGATTAATAATTGATTCCTGACAGCAGACTGCAGATCGCTATCTGCCCTGCCCTTCGGGGCTCTCCGTAACACCCTACCAGTGCTCCCACCACGCTGGGCTCTGCATGGTTCCCCTCCTCTTGCCCCCACCCAGCACCCGACTCACTGAAACAACCCAAAATGCCTCCGTGCAGAGATCTGCTTTCAGAACCCATTCCACAGCTGCTGCTTTCAGCAGGGGTGCCCTCTGGAAAGGCACCAGCCTGTGGGACAGGGTGACAACAGCACTGCGTGCACATACCCTGCAGAGTGCTGCTAGGAGCCCAGCTGGGAAAAAGAGCTCTCTGAATGGACCAGACTGCCTTCAAAGCAGGGTTTAAAAACAAAGTTCTGCTACGATCTGCTAAGGTTTAGAGCAGAAAAAGCCTGTTATGAAAAATCCCATATGTTACATAGAACAACTCAGCACTGCAGTTTTGGGAGTGGGAATCTTTTTTTCTTCCTGCTGCAAAGCAGACAAAGGTGTGACTTCCATACCTGGAAACGCTGACCCAAAAGGCAAAAACAAGCTGCAGCAACCTCTAACTTCTGTTAGTGTTTTCTACTTTCACGGAGGCTTTAAGACTCCCCTTTACGCACAGCTTGGCCTGCTCCACAGCTCCTGCCCTCCAGATGGAACACATCAGCCCAGCCCCATCTCGGTGCCCTCCTCTGCCATGGGAAAATGCCAGCACAGCCCAAGGAGCTGTGTTTAACTGGCACCCTCTTATTGCTAATTAGCTGCGAGGGGCTCTCCGCAGCTCCTAACGGTCAACAGAAGCGCACCAACTGATTTAAAGGGGCTTTGAAGCAGAGAATGATGAGATGCTGCTGCTGAGCACCCACAGCCCGTGTGTCCCACAGGCAGCTTTCTGCCCAGCCCCGCAGCCTCTGCACAGCCGTCTGTTTGTTGCTGGCAGCAGAAATAAACCCCAACCGGTCTGTCCTGAGCTCGCAGGCTGCCGACCCCTCCTCTCCCCTACCTGGTGTTCAGTTCCCCAGCTCCTGGTTTGGGAAGAAAAAAATCAAGTTGTGGAAGAGGAGGCGATTTTCCACCAGCCAGTTCTGCACAGAACGCAGCAGATGTTGACAAAGCCGCTGTTTCTAGGTCAGTGCAGCCCGCTGCCTTACGGCTCCTCACCAGCCCTGTCCTCACCAGCTGAGGAGCAGCCACACGGGGGGCTCCCTTGGAGGAGAGCCTCAAGCAGAGCCCGCTGCTCTTCCTGGTGTGTTTTAACCTCCAACACCTGCAGACGTGCTGCTTCGTGTGAACCAGATCAGGGCCAAAGCACCACGACACGTGTCCCCATCGCAAGGGATGGAGCAAAGCAGCAGCTGGCCCATGTGTCAGCACAACACAAGCTGCTTGGGGTGCTGTGCCTGTGTAGGAAATCCCCGTGCCCAGCCTGCTGCTCCTGGTTGTAAACTGCTAGGGAAAGCCCCTCTGACTTCCAGCATGCCACAAGACCTCGCTCACGGCCAGCAGGGCTTTAGAAATCAAAGCTGGAGGTTCACAGCTGCCCTTCCAAGTGCAGACTGAACAAGGAGGGGAACCCAGGACCCCCGCAGCCCCAGCCCCACACTGCAGGGGCTGCAAAGGGCAGGGCTGCGGGGTCTGTGTTCCTGAGATCCCAGTGAGGGAAGGGCAAGAGGCAAACACGAGTCCTGATCAGGAGGAACACCCCTCCCCAGCCTCACGTTTTACCCGAGCATCCCTGAGATCAGATGGCACCTTCACAACAGCACAATTTTCCATCACCATCTTTTCCATATGCGCCTCTTCCGTACGCCGTGGAGTTCTCAGCCCTGTTCTCCTCCGCCTGAACAAAGAGGCACGTACAGACACCTACAGAAATGTACACCCCCATATGGCAGGGTCAGCTCGGAGCACCTGGGAAGTGAATCCAACAGAAGGTAAAGGGGAACAGCCTGAAAGGGATTAGAGGAGGAAAAATTCTCATTTCAAATAAAGAAGATAGATTCAAACCCATCACAAACTTAAAGTCATCCAGTAAGCAAAGATTTAAGGATTTTCTGCCTTATTATTAAAGGTGTACAAGAGGACAGCTTAAGTTAGGAGCTTCAAAATCATGGTTTAGGATTGCATCCCTCTTCCCTTTCTCCCTCTCCCTAGCCCTGCTGCTCAGTGACCTGGTTCCCATCATCACAAAGCAATCTAGACAACAGCCAGCACGGAGCAGACCTGGGCTCCCTGCATCGCAGTGCTGCTGGTTAGATGAGAAGCACGGCCACCAGCACTGCAGGCTGGGACTGAGCAGCTCCTCCTCACAAACCAACAAGCAAAAACCCTCCAGCAAATCCCCACGTTCATTTTAAACTGCTGTTTTCCTTCCTTCCTCAGCCACAGGGAAGGCTGTGACACAGAGCCTATAAATGTCCTCTAACGATACAGCAGGCAGAGCCCCATCTGTGCCTGGGCACAGGTGAGACTTCTCACCACGTGTAAGTGCACCTGCCTTCCAATTACACTCACCAGCCCATTAGGCAAATGAGATTCACATCTGAGGGGATACCTGGAAAGTCAAGAAACAGGCCCTGAAGGAAGACATGCTTTATAACCCGTGTGAGCTGAGCTGGGCCTTGGAACGCAGGCCATACTGGGCTGTGCTTGGTGTTCTCTGGGTTCCTGCTGCAGTGCTCAGTGCTGGCGGAGTTCTGAGCATGCAGAGCTCAAGCCAAGGATATCTGTGTGCCCTGCATGCTCGCTCCTGAAAAATACAGCCACTTCTGCAGGGCCCTCATCATTGCCAGGTTCTGCCTTGCAGCGGGAGAACAGATTATTTCCACCTATCCAAAACAGACCACAGTCTCACTGGCCCAAAACAATTTAGACTGCTGCTGGGTTTCTCCCTGCAACTGGGGGACCACCACTGAGCTCCAGGACTGTGCCAGCACCCAGGGACACACAGCAGCAGGCTGGGCTCACAGCAGTGCGTGGTGTCACTGAGGGCACAGGGAACAAACCGCCCTGCTCAGGTGATTTGAGGAATCCATCTGCCTGCACAGACTTTTTTTTTTCCCCTCCTGTGAGTTTATGCAGAACAGAGACAACCTAGCTCAGCTCCCAGCATCCAGATGGCACTTGCAAACCTTGTCTGTGTATCAAATGTTGTTTTTTAGATCAAGTGTCCCTGGTTGACAACACAGAACTTGGAGATGCTATCTTTAGAGAGGCTCTTCTGCAAAAGAAGCACCCTTGGAGCACATGTTGCAGGGATATGCTAACATGGCAGCTCTCAGCAGGCACACACGGCTCTGTTTGGGGGGCTCAGGTACCCAGAGCATGGCTGAAGCTGAAGGATAATCCAGCCCCAGCTAACAACAAGCCTGCAGGAGCGATCCATCAGTAAGACTGCAGAGAAAGGTTAACATCCAGCACAGCAGGATGTGCTCATGGCAAAGTCTACTTGCACGCAGGAATGATGCTTACCAAATCCCTACTAATGGAGCAGCTGAACACAGGCAGCAAGCTCTGAGATTTCATTCCTTCTTCCCCCTGGAGGTTTGGAGACTCCTACCCTGCTCTGCTCCTCACCTGAACACAAAGGTCCAATAACAGACTAACAACAGCAGACTGACTTCCTCCCAGTCTTTATTTCCTCCTCCAGTTTTCACAAATAAAAGCATCACAAGCAAAGACACCACTTTTAAATACCCCATTAACAAAGAGCAGAACTCCAAAACTTCCAGTTTTATTTATTTCTGAGACAGCAACGGTAGCCTCAGTAAGTAGCTGTAATCCTTGCTAGAGCAATATCAGCCTCCCCCTAACCTCGAGTTGCTTTCCACTCTCCTCAGCTCCAAGATTATTAAAGCAATTGTCACCTGCATGGGAAAATGCACAAAACCCAGCACATCCTGCACACTGCCATGAGCAGCATGGACATGGGGAGAACACAAAGGGGTCTGCAGGAGCAAGGAAGGTCCTGGCTCAGCTCAACTCCTGCTCCAAAGGTGACACTGACAGTGCAGAGGGCTGAAGTGACCCCTCCTGCCTGCTGCTGAAAAGAACATTTCAGAGCAGCGACATCAGGTAAAGCAGCAGCTTCTGAAAAAGAAAGTGATCCAGGAGGCAGCTCCTTCCATATTGCAGGCGCTCACAGTAAACACCATATGGCCTGCTAATTTAATTAGGGAGAAGAAACCCCCGAAGTTTGAGATTTGACTTTGAAGGGTTTAAAACAAGTCTGAGGAGAATTGCTCAGCATACCGCATGAGGATGCTGCCCTGCTCCAGCTGTCCTGCCAAGCCCTCACCTGCAGGCAGGAGCTACAGAAGTGCCCAACCTACAGCCTTGCCCCTCATTGCTGGGTTAGCAGAACTAAAAGGATTTCTCTGTTCTTAGCACATCTTCCAGCGAGCAGATGAGGGAAATGAGCTTTCCCTTCTCTGACATGGGACAGAAAGCAAGTCTGAGGCATGAGCATCGCAAGCATCCCAACAGCATTCTGCCACTTCTAAGGACTGGTGTAATCTGGGAAGAAAAAAAAAAAAAGTGGAGAAGTAAAATAGGACGTCCTTTTTGCTCCAATTTGGACAATTCACAGCTCTCAGCATCCAGGGATTTTTTAGAACCAAGGCTGGTACAGACTCCTGCTGGGCACAAACCTATGGGAATACATCATCGCTTCAATGAGCTGCTGGTCCAGCAGCCCCCAGCACAAACCCCATCCATTGCAGCTCTGCAAACTCCTGGGAGGCCAGAAACGCATCCTATGGGAAATCCATTAGCACTTGTGTGCACTCCATACAAGTGCACAGCCCAGCCTCCCTCCAGAGTCACTAGACTGGGCCACCTGTGTCATTAGGGCAGAAGAGCAGGAGGGATGCTGTACCTGATGGCTCCAACACCACAGATCCAGCTGTGCTCACCCATCCCTGCCTGTCCCATAGCAGCTCAGGGTTCATGGGCTGCTTCTTGGGATGAGCTCCCATCCTGCCCCTTGCAGCAGTTGCTCCACAGGAGCAGATCTGTCCCTGAATTGGAAGATGGCAGTGAGAGAGACAGCCCCACAGTGCTCTGTGCTGCTCTGCTGGTGACAAACCCAGGAGAGAGTTGGGGTTTGGCTGCAGCCTGCTGCCCTCTTATGAACCATGCTGGGAGAAGGCCATCCAGTTCCCAGCACTCTGCAACTTCTATTTGCACAGTTTTCCTCCAGCTCCTCTCCAGAAATGAATTAACCACCAACCTGTTTCTTTTTTGTGTTCTTTTTCCCCCACAACCCATCCTGCTCTGCTTGTCTGCTTAACAGCAGTGGCACAACAGTGTGCCAGAAAGACGACTTTCCCAATTTTCGGGTTAACAATAAAAACCCCAACAAACATCCAAAGAGCAGCACACTCCTTCCTGCGAGCAAGGAACCTCCTCTCAGGACACCGCAAAGATTTAATTTACTGCCAACTGCCCTCTGGCTATTTTACATTTATGGGGTGGGGGTGAGGAAAGGAAGGAGGCAGGAGAGGGCGTAATTAGCTCTGCTTGTAAAATGGTCATCGTGGCGGTGATGGTGGCTGGGATGCAGAGCCCATTGGGGACTTAATAGATTTCAGGGCATTGTTCTTTGGGAGTGCTGAAGTGTGCGTGTGGGGTGGGGGGAATAAAAAATAAAAAAAAAGGAAAAAAAAAAAATCAATGAGTGGATCCTACTTCTTGCCACAACCCCATATGGAAGTAATCAAGCACGAGGGTGGCAGCTGGGGCCAATAACAGTCACCTGCAGTTGAGGGACATGGGGGTTTCGGATGGGTTTTTAATGCTAATTTCCATGGGAAACAATGCGGGAGCGCGCGGGGCGCAGCCGCCGAGAGCAGTGAATGGCCCCGATGGGAACAATGGCTGCACCTGGTGCTGCAGCACGGCCGGCACGCGGCACCGCACATCTGTTCCGCCCCGCGCACACAGCGTGCAGCAACAGGTCGGGCTGCCAGCCTGCAGCCAGCACTGCACACCTCGTCCTGCCCCTCTGGGGAGAGCTGGACCGATACGGCGGCGTTGGTTTGGTTTTCCAGGTCCTTTGGAAGGGGTGGCTGCGGGTGCTGCAAGGGGGGCTCGCTCCTCGCCAGCTCCGTTATAAAATGCCACTGAACAAAGCCAATCAAAGCCACGATATTATACTTTAAAATGCTTTTGAGACCTCTGAAATCGCCACTGTCCTCGTGCATGACTGTGGCCGACACACTGGGAAGCCAAAGTCTGGTGACAGAAAGACACATCAGGCTCAGGGGCTGAGCTCAAGCCTCCATCCTGCACCACAGCAGTGAGAGCAGCACCTCCTGCTCCCAAACCAAGGTCTGTGCTGCCCCCATCTCCAGCTGTTCCCAGGATGCCACCTGAATTAAGGCTCCACGGCAGAAAAGTTTCAGGGCTCCTAGAAAGCTGCAGTGCTGCTGCCCCAGGGACCACGCTGCACCCAGGCCCATCTCACAGTGAGCTGCTAACAGCAGCCCTGCACAGAAGGACTCAGTGCCATAAGGGGAAGCTTGCAACATCACGGTACTGGTAAGTCAGCTCTTTTATTATGGGGAACAAACCCAAGCAGCAACAGATTATGACCAGCTCAAGTTCAGATGTAAGACACCAGCCAATGCTGCCTTAAACCTCTTACACACACAAGTCCTCAAATGACTCCATCCAGCTACCCAGATATCCTATAAATATTGTACACACACAGATCTTGCTTCTTTTTTCTCCAAACCCTGAAAAATTAGAGCTGAACAAGCAGAGGCCCCCAGCTGCCCCATCCCAAAGAGGCTTTGGCTGTTAGCTTCATGAATTCCTGCCCACCCAGACAGGGCAGCCTGCAGAGATCACGGGGTGCAGGACCCCACACAACAGCACCACCATGGCCTTTTCACTACTGGATGAGTTTCTGCTCTTTTCCTTGGGGCAGTCTCTGCGTAACACACTTCTCAGATTAAAAATTTATTCTCCTTGCTTCTAGCAACCCTCCTGCCCCCACAACCCTTTAGATCCTCTGCTCACTGCACTCTCCTGTGGTCATTCCTTGTCCAACCTGACTCTGTTTTGTCCTCGTCACCTGGCTTCCCACCCAGGGTCCCTGGGCTGCAGGGTTTGCTGGTTGCTGGAATCGGGGCAGCTCTGGGCACCTGGCAGGGGACCTACAACTGTTCTGATGAAGCCTCAGTAGTCCCCAAAGTCAGAACACCATTTCCATATAAAACTGAAACCACAGTCCTGCACTCAGAGACACCACACAGGTACTGTAACCAGCCACCAAGCTCCAAGCCGTCTCCATCCCAACCACCATGCTCAGCTCCTCACACACCCCAAATCCTTCCCTTCATTTTTCCTTCTACAAAGGAAAAAGCCACTAAGGAAAAGTTTTCCCCAGGACTTGAGCAAGAACCTGGGGTTTTAGGTTGCTCAATGGCCCAACTGCACCACCCTGATGCTAGCAAAACTTCCGCCTGCTCCCGAGGCCCTGGAGCAGCTGCTCCTGCAGCCAGCAGTGTGCTCACATGCTGGACAAACCCCCAGGCTGGCAGGGCTGCTGGCCTGGAGCACAGAGTGCTGCCCCTGGGCACTGCATAGCCTTGTCAGAGCTCTTCTGCTCCTATTTCCTCCTTTGTGCTGCTGTGCTGTGAGGTGCCCAGCTCGCGTAGCTGCTGTCTGCAGGCTCTCCTGGGGACACCAAGCAGACTAAGAATCGTATTTAAAAAACCAACAGCAAAACTATATCCAAGCCCTGTGCAAACTCCAAGAGAATGCAAACCTTGGGGTGGGAATGCAGCGTGCCCTGGAGGGGTGCTCCCAGCCGGCTGCTGCACAGGAGCATCTGCAACTGCCAAGCTTCCCCAAAACCAAGGGGAAAGGGCAGGTTTGGAAGAGGAGGTATATCAAATTGCAGTGGAGTAAAGCAGGAGCTGAGATGCAGCAGCTGCAGCCCGGCAGTGGAAGCGTCAGGGCAGGGAGGTGCGCTCCTGTGCCACATCGATCCACAGATTTACATGCTGGGAGCATCGGCTGCTGCGCGAGGAGCGCGGAGACAAAAAGGAGCATTCTGACACAATGCAGAGAAAGGCGAAAATGCAGGGAAGTGAGGAGGGCTGGGGGCTGACGGAACAAATCTGCCTCTGCAGATTTCCCCCAGCTTCAATATTTGCATGCACAAACGAGAGCAAGACGAGGCACAGCAGAAAAACGCGTTTTGCTAAAGCACACAAAAACCTCCCTGGCTCCGCGTTTCCCCAGAAAGCACCAATCCCAGCCCTCTGCTCAGGAAAAATAAAAGGGGAAAAAAAAATAAATCAAACTGAAACCATTCCACGGCAACACAGAGCGAACCCCCCCCTCCCGCAGCTCTCCACTGGCTCCATGTTATTTCAGCTGCAGGATCCCTGCGCCCATGCAAGTTTCTCCCCCTCCCGCCGCCAGCACACGGGCTCAGGGTGCCACACAGCCTCCCCAGCACCCCAAGTCCCCCAGCACGGCACCACGAGCCCCCCAGGCTCCTTCCAAATCAGCCGGCTTACCCTACGTGGCGAGGTTAGCGCAATCCAGCTGCTGTTGAATACACCTCGTTTCGTTGCAATATAAATAAAAAGGCTCTTCCTCCACCGCTCTTAATCTGGGAGCGCAGGCTGAGCCCAGCCTTCCTTCTCCTTTCATTAGCTGGACATGTGTCAGGTCCCTCACATCTGCGATTTCTCACTGCCTGGAGCCGCCTGTCCGGTTCCAGGGAAACACAGATGGCTCCCAGATGGGGAGGTCCCGCCGAGCCGCCCGGCTCCCACCTCGCAGCGCCCGCTCCTGCCCGCACCGCGCTGCCGGGCGCCTCGCCAGCTGCCAGCACCGCCCCGCACGGGACGTGGCGCGGGTCTGTGGCACCGCGCAGGGACACGCGCTGCTCCGTATGCAATGCTGAGCCCCCGGCATCGGCCCCGCGAGCTGGGAAGCAAGTCGCTTGTAAATCATGGCCGGGAGGAGCCTTCGCCTTTTTCAGACCGGGGTGAGCTGGTGGATAAAGTCGCCAATCGGTTTCCTGATGGCTCGTTCCCCCGCGCGCAGCGAGCTCTCATGTGCGCTCCCCTGCGAGACCCCGCCATGGAGTCTGCGAGGCGGCATGTGGGAGCAATTAGGGGCAGCAGTGAGATAACAAGAGACCGATGTTGCGAGGGTACCAAATGAGGGCTGGAAAATTCAAAGGAAGAGCAATTAAATGCGTAACATACTAGCTGGGATCGAAGAGGAAGTGTTAAAGCAAAATGTAAATCCTAAATGTTTTATAGGAGGAGTGAAGCCCACGAGGGCTGCAGGCGTGTGAGGGAAAGCTGCTGGGCATCCCTCTGCAGGACCGTGCTGTGCCCTAACGCAGCGCCAGTGGCTCTGCAACCCACTCACAGCCCCTTCCCCACGAACAGCAGCAGCAGCACACTGACAGCAGCACAGCTGCCCTAAGGAGCAGAAGCGAGGTTGGAATTTTGCTTGCAGAAATATCCCGCTCTGCAGTCTGGGCACTGGAGCACACAGGTGGATGCAAAGTGCTCGGGAGGAACTCACCGCAGCAGGCTGTGTTTTGCAGGCTCAGGTTGTGATGTCATCCTTGCGAAGTGTTTGCAGGCAGTTTTAGCTCTCCCTCCACCAGCCAGACTCCTACGTACCTTGCCAGGGCAGCACTGAACCAAGAGCTGCCACTGCCCAACCCAAGGGATTCTCATTTCTCAACACCAGAAATGACACAAGTTGAACCCTGCACTCTGTTGGTGCAGGGGTGGCGGGTATTTACTTGCTCACAAGCACAAGAACACCTCTTGTTAGAGTCTTTCCACATCCCCGCACTGCTGCCATCCTCCCGGACCCCTGCACTCGGTGGCCCTGCAGAGCTACAACCCAGGACACCACCAAAGCTCAGCATTCTGGCTTGCCGGGGCTTTGACACTCGCAATGAAGGTTGTGCAAAATACCAAAACTCTCAGTATTTCATATGCCAAGATGGAAAAACCAACTCTGAGTTAGACAATGAAGCAAGACAAAAAGCAAGCACCTCCACAAGCACTGGGATCCATAAAGCTGATCTCCACGGTCCCACACCCAACAACTTGGTGCCTTGCAGCATCACTGTGGGGCTCCACAAGGCACGAGGTCACACAGCAGCTTCACCCAGCAGGACTGGCTCCAGGCAGAGGGAAGCAGCCCCATGTTGATGGCACTGAGCATCAGGCACTGCTGCTCCTGCCCTGCCCTGCTGCACAGGTCCTACTCAGGAATTCCAAGACTGCTGCAGGAGCACAGGGGAGGAGGAGGATGCTGCGACCAAACTGCAGTGATGCACGTGGGGGGCTGCTGGGTCTCTGGGTCAACACCATCAGAGAAAGCCCTCTTTGAAAGCAGGCAGTGTTCTGGGGCCCAAAGGGGCTAATTGAGGCAGGTTAACTGACACCTCCAACCCCATTCTTTAATCTTATTTTAATGCAAGGACCACAATAGACTTGATGTCTAGGTAGGAATTGCTGCTTGCTACCACATCTGCACCAGCCTCAAATCACATTAACTAGAGATGGGGGAACCTGGGTGCCACAGCAAGCCCTCACTGTGCTGAGCCTCCTGCCAGCACTCCTCCCAACACAAACAAGGGAAGATGAGCATTGTTGAGAGGCCCTGAGCCACAGCACCTACTGCCCTCGAGCAGCTCACCTGTGTAACCCACAGGCAGCCTGCCCTCTGAATGCGTATCACACCAGCTTTCCAAAGCCCAGATCCCTCTGCCCATGGACAGCACAATGGAAAGAGCGAGGCCAGCCAGCAGCAGCATGGAAATTGCTTTCCCCGACTCACCACGTCTATCTGCTGCTGCTTTCTTCTCACGGCAATGTTCCATGGAAAGAACGATGCAAACAAAGTTTGAACAGTAGGAGCTATTGATACCTGCTGCTCAGTGTGGTTTCTGAGGAAAGTGGGGAAATCTGAAGAATTTTTCCAGTTTGCAGTGGAATTTGCATGCCTATCACAGCCCATTCCCACAGAGCACAGGGGACCTGGACTTCTTGATCTCCCTTCAGTGCCACTGTATTTCAGAACCACTGATGCTTTACTTTCTGCCCACTGTGCTCTTACCTTGGAAAGAAGCTCAGCATGCACTCATGGCAGCCTGGGAAACCTCTGCAATTCTGGGCTGATCACTTTCCATTGCACAGAAAATAAATCCAAGCACACCAAGGTGGCCAAAGCTATCTATCAAGCTAAATGGAAACTGTAAATTCATGCTAACTGGAAACTGATGGAAACCAATTGGGAACCTCCTCCTCCCCCAGGCCTGGGTTTGGCAGCGAGTCTGATGTCTCATCACCTCCTTTCTGCCTCCCTCAGAAGCTGCACCCCTCCCAGATTTATCACATTTAACAGATATCTTCTTTTTAATACCTCCATCAAGCTAGCACACAGCAGATCATGTTAACAAGCTTAATTAGTCAAGTAAAGCTAATCAAATTGCCTCATACACGTGTAGGATTCAGCATTTATACCATTTCAATATTACCCAGCATTGAAGGCTGGCCTTAACTGAATGAGCTGAATTTACACCCAGAACAACTATGATGACACACTAAGGAAAAAGCAGTGGGAGCAAAGGTTCACCAACTAAGCACAACCTCACCGAGTTCCTGCAGCCTCACTCATGGCTGAGGACTGATGGCAGGGGAAGGAAGGGAAAAGGACTCTGGCAAAGGCAGCCTTGCTCCTCTGACCACATACATGAAGGGGGCGATGTCCCATCCAAAATAATGGGGGAGACTGGTTCCTAAACCAAACACCCGTGCTACGATTAGAAATCCCAGTCCGTAGTTGTCATGGGTATTAAAACCAAACGTGGAAATATGGAAAAAATGAGTAAGCCCATTTGAATAGAGTAGAACCCAGCCTGCAGAGGATTAAGTCTAGTTCAACAGCTCTGCAGCTTGACAATATTTTCCAAAGAGCAAGGTCAAAAGGTACGAAATCAATAGCAGCCCTGTTGGATGGCTGAGGTTTGTCACAAGGCACACAGCACCCCTCCAAGGGCAGCTCTGGTGACAGTGGCTGCTGGGCAGCCACGCAGGGACCAGCAGGAGGGCCTGCAAGCCAAGCAAGCACATGGGAACACATCTCAAAGCAACACAACGCGTGCCTTTGCTCTCATCCCAGGAAGGGCAGCATTTACAATCAAATCCCAACACACTGTGCA